GTCACACTGCCTGTTATGGGCTGAATTGTGTTCCTCCAAATAGATGTTGCAGTCTTATCCTCCAGGACCTGTGAATGTGGAAATAGGGTCTTTGCAGATGATCGAGTTAAAATGAAATCATCGGGGCTGGGCCCTAATCCAACGTGACTGGTGTCCTTATAAAACGGGGAAATTCGGACACAGAGACAGAGGCATCCAGAGGGAAGATGATGCATAGAGGAAAGCCAGCTGTTGCCAGAAAACCACCAGAAGCCGGGAGAGAGGCGCAGGACAGGTTCACCGTACAGCCTTGGAAGGAACCAGCCCTGCCACATTTTGCTCTTGGACTTCAGCCTCCAGAGCTGGGAGACAGGACATTTCTGTTGCTTAAGTACCCCACGCCCAGTTTGGGGTACTTTGCTACGGCAGCCCCAGCAAACTAATACAGCCTCCCACTTCAATGATATTCAGCCAAAGAATTCCAATACAAGGAGGTGCAAACAAATAGAATCTTCAAACAAATGCTGAAGTGCTCACAAGGAAGGGGCTTTCTTAGGAAGAAACCGAGGACTTAAAGACACCTTCCACGCACCTGCCATGCCTGACTCCTCACTGGTGACGGAAGTAGGGGGGCTGCCCACCTCCCTCGGCCAGCAGCGGGGGGCTCCCCAATGACCTGTAAATGCGGAAGTGGAAACCCATCCCTTCTGATGGTAAACCTTGAGACCAGGGGTCAGGAAAACATCTCTTTATTCCAAAAAATACCAAGTTGCTGCTGTGCCAGCTTTCTCACCAAGAAACTGTGGGAGGGTCCGATGTTGGGGGATAAGGAGGCTGTGGAGGGTCCCCTGGTCCAGAACTGTCAATCTTCTCTGTGCGCTGCCCCCTACTGCCCCCCGGCCAGAAGGGGGGATGAGTGTGCACGCACATGAGCCTGTGTGTGCGTTTATGGGGGTGAAGGGAAGACTCAGATGGTGAGATCCCAGCTCTGGAAGCATCGAGGGGGATCTGGTGGGACAGGCCTGCTTCCTCACCCCCTCGAGACCTCTCCCCACTATGGCTTATTTGAGATAAGAGGTCAAGACCCCAGGGCTAGGCAGCCTGTGCCGTTGGGGGAGGGAGGCGAGATGCCTTGAATCCAGGTCGGGAGAGAGCAAGTCGAGGGGGGCATACAAAAGCTGAAAGGCCCGACCCCCCCAATTCCGGGGGCTGGAGAAAGCTGAGTGCTCCATGGGGGCAGTGAGCAGAGGGGAGGGCATCTGGGAGGGGCAGGTGCTCAAGCTGGCTCCTTTCTGGGGAAGTCACAGTCTGCCCAAGGGGCACTGGGCATGGGGAGGCCCTAAAAGGGATTGGGGGAACCCATAGGAGCAGCTGTAAGCATGGAGTTGAAAAACTGGCATTGGGGCCCAGGTAAATTGGGGGTAGCCCCCTAGTTCCCTTGTTGTGGTGGGAGCTGAGGGCCAGTTATCTGCTCCAGGCTCCTGACAAGAAGGGATGAGCTGAGGTGCCAGTATTTGAGGGGAGACAGGAGAGGGAGGGGAACGGCCCAGAGGAGGGAGAAGAGGCCCCCCCACCTCGCCCTGGGGGCTGGGGGAGGGGGCATGTAGCCCTTTAAGAGTGGGGGAATGGCCGCCCCCCGCAACATGGCTATGTACAGAGTATTGGGGGCAAATTGTGCGTTGGGTGTTGAGGAATCCCCAAAACCCCTGAAGGCTCCCCGGTGTGTGAGGGGGAGATGAAGGAGAGAGTGCTGCTTCTCTGCCATCTTGGGATGATGCAGAGCACCCCCCATCCTGCCCCCAGAGATGGCGCTGGCAGTGGCTGTGGCTCTCCAGGTGTGCCTGCTCCAGGACCAGGCCAGCAGAGGACATGATTGAAGGCCCCAGGGAGGTCGTCAGCTGTTGGCCCAGCCCACAAGGGTCTCTGAGGAGAGTTTGGCCCAAGCCAATGGAGTGCTGCTCGGCCTGGGGGTCCAGGTAACAGGGATTGGGCAAGAAGCAGTGATGTCACCCAAGGGCTGGAAAGCACCCCCTCTGGTGATGATAAGAGGCCTCTGTGTTGACCCTGTCACCGATCAGATGGTTGGGTGAAGGGCAATGAGTTATCAGGAGGGGCCTGGATGCCCTCACCAGGGGGTGATGGGGGGCTGGCCAAGGCCAAGTGTGTGGTGGGGTTGATGCAGGCATCAGCCTAAGTCAGGAGCCAGGCAGTGACATCATCAAGAAGGGCCAGAGTAGGGATGATGTCATCAGAGGGAGCCCCACCCTACTCCATTTTTGAGGCAATGGGGAAATGGTGTGTACTGTGCTGGTTCCCCTTAAGGGAACAAATGTAGGTGCCACGTGACCCCAGAAGATAATTGAAATACAGCTGTTGTAGTACTTGGCTCCCAAGAGGATGGATCCTGGAAGATGACGATACATGGTTGAAGTGGATCCTGGTAAATGATGACACCACTGGGTGTCCTGGATGCTGGGAGATGATGGTGCCTTGGTTATGGTGGATCCTGGTAGATGATGATGCTGTGGTTGAAATGGATCCTGGGAGATGATGACTCTATTGGGTGTCATGGGTCCTGGGACACCATTGATTCTCATGGATGCTGGGAGGTGGTTACACCATGGCTGAATTGAATCCTGGGAGGTGATGACACCATGGCTGTGGTGGATCCTGGGGCATGAAGACATCATGGTTAAAGTGGATTCTGGGAGGTGGTGACACCATGGCTGAATTGAAATCTGGGAGGTGATGACACCGTGGCTATGGTGGATCCTGGGGCATGAAGACATCGTGGTTGAGTGGATCCTAAGAGGTGGTGACACCATGGCTGAATTGAAATCTGGGAGGTGATGACACCATGGTTAAAGTGGATCCTGGGAGGTGGTGACATTATGGTTGAAGTGGATCCTGGAAGGTGATGACACCATGGCTGTAGTGGATCCTGGGGCATGAAGACATCATGGTTGAGGTGGATCCTGGGAGGTGATGACACCATGGTTAAAGTGGGTCCTGGGGAGTGATGACACCATTGGCTCTCATGGATCTCTGATGATACCATGGTTGGAGTGGGAATGATGACACCCCAATTCTGGGGGACTATGGGAAATGGTGGCATCATCAGTCCTAGTGGATCCTGGTAGAGGATGTTAGCATCAGCCATAGTGGATTCTGGAAGGTAATGACATCATTGGTCATGGTGGATTCTAGGAGATGATGACATCATCAGCCATGGTGGATTCTGGGAGATGATAATACAGTGGTTGTGGCAGATCCCGGGAGATGATAACACTTTGGTTGTGGAGAATCATGGAAGATGGGACACCATTGGCTATGGGGAACCTTGGGAGAAGGTGACCCTATAGTCATGGTAAATCCTGGAAGAGGATGATACCATAGTTGTGGTGAATGCTGGGAGATGAAGACCCCATACGTCATAGGGAGTCCTGGGAAATGATGTCATCATCAGGCATGGCTAGCATTTGACCCAGGTGCAATGCCATCATGAGTGGTGGAAGTCTTGTGGTGCTGATGATGTCATCAGCAAGATCAATAGCAGGCATACCCCAACCTCCCCCCACCCCCCAACAGGAGGCCAGGACTTTGTTGACAGACACGATGATATCTCTAGTTATGGCAGAGAGAAGTGACACCAGCCTTTGGGCCACCTACGAGTCCCTGTCCTCCAGGAGCCTGGTGGGCCAGAGTGGCCTCCTTGGGAGCAGAAGCCAGTCTGGGAGTGCTGTCCTCCAGGAGTCACACAAGAGGTGACATCACTACACAGGGGTGGGACCCAAGGCCCAACCTCTCTTTAGAGAGAGGGTCTGGTGAAGATCCTGCAGGGCATGTCCCTGGGGTCAGGGGAAGGAGCAACCAGGCTAAGTCGTGGAGGAACAAGGCAGAAACCCTGGTGACGCCATCACAAGTGGTGGCCCTCCAGAGCAGGCAGTGTCTCTGGTGATGACATCACAGCATTGAGGCAGAGCCTCAGACGGGGGTGGGGGCCCACTGCCAATAGCCTACAGACAGACTGTCCTCTCTGGCGGAGACCTCTCCAGATGGGGCAGTCTCCCCAGTGATGATGTCTCTCAGACAGGGCACTTTCTCTGGTGACCCCAGGTTGGTCATGGGCTCTGGGCATGCCCTGCCTTCTCGTGACGTGGCAGTAGCAGTGGAGGTGTCTCATGGCGTCATCTCAGAGTAGGCAGAGTCTGTTGGTGACATCGAAGAAGGGGCCTCATCCTGGAGATGTCCCAGAGTGGGCTGTCATCTCTGGTAATGACATCATGGGAAGAGGCATAGTCCCTCTGATGATGTCATAGGGCAAGGCACCTTCTCTGGTGATGGCATCACAGGAAGGGGGCAGAGTCCCTGTGACGATGTGGAAAGGAGGCCTTATATCTAGTGAGGACACGATTGGTGAGACCTTTTCCCCTGCGATGTGTCCCAGGAAGATGGCTTTGTCTGTGGCGACAACATTAGAGATATTTTTCTGGTGATGATAATGTCAAAAGAAGCCTTTTGGTGCCAGAGATGACATCATGAGAGTGAGCCTTGTCTCTGCAGTGATGTCACAGGAAGGATCTCTGTCTCTAGGGAAGATGTCATAGGACAAGGCATTGTCTCTACTATGACATCACAGGAAGGAAGTCATTGTGATGACATGATGGAACATAGATATGGCCTTTAATGATGACCTCAGGGGTGGGTCTGTTCCTCCGTGATGAACCTCATGGGAAGGAGGTTATGTCCCTGTGATGACATCACAGAATACAGACGTTTTCGCTAGTGATGACCTCACAGGCAGGCCTCTTCCTCTGTGATGACGTCATGGGAAGGAGGCCTTGCCTCAAACAGTGACGTAGGAGGAGGGGTCTTATCCGCCGTGACATCCCAGAAGGCGGCTTTGTCTCCGGTGACGATTCCATCCAAAGCGGTGTCCTCCAGGCAGCCCCCCGGCCACTGGCCGATCTGGGTCCCAGGCCCCTGGAGTGCGCTGGGGGATCCAGGCTGGGCTGGGGGCGCGCGAGGCCGCAGCCCCGGAGCCCCGGCCCGGCCTCAGACAGTCACCTCGTTCTTGCTGGCGGTGCGCAGGTGCTGGGGCAGGTGGTGGCCGGGGATGAACTGCAGCTGCTCCAGCGTGCCCTGGCGCTGGAAGGGCGGCCTGCGGGCCAGCGTGCCCCCGCCGCCGCCCGCGTCCGACATCCAGGCGGGCTGCGGCGAGCCGTGCAGGCCGAGGTGGTGGTGCGCGTGCAGGCCGGGCGGGGGCAGCCCGTGCAGCGGCGTGGGCGGCCCCCCGGGCCCCAGCAGCAGGGTGGAGTGCGAGGCGGTCAGGCCGGCGCGGGAAGCCGGGTCGGGGGGCAGCGCGGGGCTGCGCGGGGGCGACAGCAGGTGCTCGCGGCTCTGGCGCAGGGCCTCGGGCGACGACAGGAGCAGGTGCTCCCGCGACACGAGGCGCGCGCGCGGCAGCGTGAACTCGTAGCGCGCGCGGCCGCCGTCGCCCAGCAGGTGCTCCTGGGACATGACGCGCCGCGGGTTGGGCGCGGGCGCCAGGCCCAGCTCCTCGGCGCCGCCCCAGGCGTCCGTGCGGTAGCCGCCCCCGGTGCCCGGCCGCCGCAGCGCGTGCAGGGGCAGCGTCCCGCGGGGCGTCTCCGTCAGGGGCCGGCGCTTCAGGTAGGCCTCGTCCAGGTCCTTCTCGGCTGGGGGAGAAGGGAAAAAGCCACAGGGGTGGGTCCCCAGCCAGCCCGGAGCCTTCCCCCTCCCTGGGCTTCCGAACACCCCACCCCCGCGCTGGACCCGCACCGCCACGAGGAGCCCAGGCACCACTCAGAACGCCCTGGTCATTAGCCTGGGCACGGGCACAGTTTTAATCAGAACGGTCAAGCTGGCTGCGGGGCCAACATGCAGATTCCCAGGCCCTGCCTGCAACACTGGGCGGGTAGATGAGGGGGGCTTCCTTTTCTTGGAGAGTAGAATCCAACTCTTGCTTTTGAGGAACCCCTTTTCCATCCCTTTCATCCTGTAGCAAGTGCTTGTCAAACTTGGGGATGTGACCCATTGGTGGGTTGTGAAGTCAATTTTGTGGGCAGTGACCAGGATTTTGAAAAATGAAATAGAAAATTATCAGGTGTCCACATAATAAGGGAATAAGGGTGAGTACTGTTCATAAAATTTTTATTTCAGTTATATGTGTGTTATTGAAATATTAATGGATGAAGTGACATAATATCTGGGATTTGTTTTAAAATAATTCACCAAAAGATGGGGTGGAGGGAAGAGAGATTAACAAAATGTTGCTTATTGCTAAAACTGGGTGATGGGAATGTGAGGGTTCATTTTATAATTTCCTCTGCTTTTGAGTGTGTTTGAAAATGTCCATAATAACAAGTTTCAAAGCTTTCCTGTAATTAAAAAATATACATATATGTGTGTGTCTCATGGGTCATAATGTAAAAAGCATTTCTTACTGTGGCTCTCAGTTTCAATGTTTGAGGCTACTCCACTGCCAGGGATGGCCACTGACCCAGAAATGTCCAATCAGAGTCACACTGATTGGTTCAGGGACAAGAATGTGACCCAGTTTGGGCCAGTGGGATCCAGGCCTGGGATTTTTGCTAGAATCATTTGGAGAGCCTCTTTTCTGCTGGTAGAATGGCAGCCTGAAAATTCTGATGGCAATCTTTGCCACCAGGAGGGGAGATTCTGTCAGAAAATGAAGTCAGCCCACTGTTTAGCAGAGCTGAGGGATATAGAATCCTGGAGACAGCTTTGGGCACCTGGATCTAGCCACTCCTGAAGCTCATGACTCAGACTTTCCATTATCAAGCCAACATAGTTACCTTTTTTCTTTTGCTTAAGTTGTATTTCTATTCATTGCAAATACAAGTTCTGATGAATATAATAGATCTTGGGAGGGGGTACCAAGCATTTGCATTTTTAAAAAGCATCCCAAGTAATTCTGATACAAAATTACCAGTAATTCTGGAACAAATTTGAAGAAAAACCTCAGAGAAGATCTAAACCTTTAGGCTATTGGGCCACTGTCCACGGTCCTGAATCCAGGTCCTGGCCCTGACTGCCCCATCGCCCCAGCGCCCCACCCCGGGACTCACCCAGCCTCTTGAGGGAGGAGTAGCGGTTGAGTTCAGATTTCACAGCGGCCTCGTAGGACGGGGGCAGATGCGAGAGGTTGTGGAAGGAGCGAGAGTAAGACAGCGTGGAGTAGTGCAAGGAGGGGCTGGGCGGCGGAGCGGCCCGCCAGTCTAGGGCAGAGGGGCAGGGCTGGGGTCAGTCCAGCACCTCCTCCCTCAGACCCAGCGTTCAGGCCCAGCCCCTGAGGGAGTGAGATATCTGGGGTTCCGGCCCCTCAAAGCTCAGGCAGTGAAGGCTCCCCATGCTAACCCCCCCCAGGAGACAGGCTCACTGCTGGGGAAGGAGGACATGTCACAGGAGGAGGGGCAACGGGCACTTGCTCCATACCCGCTGTGTGCCGGGCCCCAGGCTGGGGGGTGCGCTCCATACATCCTCCCACCAACCCGGGTCAGGGAGAGATGACCCCTTCCTGTTCAAACGAGGAACCAGCCTCGCTGGTTGCCTGGCTGGACTGTGAGGGCAGGCTCACAGGCCGCACACCTGCTCTGTCTGGGCCCCCGCTTGGGCCCAGTCAGGGTGGGAGGGGGAGCGGAAGGAGCCCTGTCCTCCCCCAGCCCGGCCTGGTCCGTACCCAGCGTGTCCGCATGCTGCTTGGGGCTGTTGACGTTGAGGTGCAGGTAGTGGTGGTGCAAATTATCTGTGGGGACCGAGAAGGGAGGTGGCGTCACTGCCGTCACTCGCCCCCAGCTGGTGCTGCTGACCTGGTCTCGTGGAAGGATCCCCACTCACGTCCACTCGGTCCCCAGCCCTGGTCCCTTCTGCCTTCTGCATCTCTGCCCTGCCCTGCCTCTCCCTCCTGGATCATCACACCAGTCTTCTGGCCAGCCAGCCAGCTCGGCTCCAAGATCAGCCCCACTGCAGTGCTCCTGACACTCACACCTGCCCCTGCCCCTTGGCTGCTTGAAACTCTTCCCATGTCTGGCTGTCACCCACGGGACACAGTCTAAATCAGGAATGGCATTTGAGGCCTGCATATGACTTGGCCCCACCTGACAGTCTGCAGCCTTATCTCTCCTCTCTCCCCTCAAGCCACACTTCTCTCTCATGCTGGAAGGAGTCCAGCTCGGTCCTGCCACAGGGCCTTTGCACATGCTGCTATGTGTTCTCTCTGCCTTGAATCCCTTCCTCCCCTTCTTTGCCTGAAGAACTCCTACTCATCCCTCAAGATCCAGCTCAAATGTCTCTTCCTTATTACTATTATTTAAACCCATCTCCTCCTCTCCATTCCTGACCCCAGCTCAGGCCTTCGCCTTTACTGCCTGGATCATCATCCCAGCCTCCTCCTGAGCCTTCTTCCTCTCATCTCTGCCCCCTTCACGTGGGTTCCAGAGAAAGAGTTCTTCCACTCACTTCTGACTTTGCTGCTCCCCTGCTCTAACCTCCTCCAAGGCTCCCCATCGCCCTCAGGATAAAGGAGAGCTCCTCAGCTCAGCCTGGCACTCAAGGCCCTTCCCGAGGCGTCTGCCCACCCTCTCCCCAGCCTCAGCTCTGACTGCCTTAGCTGTCCAGAGCTCCCCTGGCCCAAGTAACTGCCCTCACCCTCCAGGCCACCACTCCAACATCACTTCCTGGGGAAAGCCCTCCTCCCCTCACACCACATGAGACCCTTTTCAGCCTCTCAACAGCTCCCTGACTTCTCCACTGATGCACTCATCGTAATATAGAATATAAGAATAACAATAATAGCTCACATTCATATAGCACTTTTTCTGTGCCAGGCATTGCTCTAAGGACTTTACTCATTGGTTCATTTGATCTTCACAACCCCTATGAGGTGAGTACTCTTAGGCTTCTCACTTCATGGATGGGGAAACTGAGGCCAAGAGAGCTGAAGTCACTTGCCCCAGGTCACAGTGGCAGAGCCAGGATTCGAATCCAGGCGGTCTGGCTCCTGGCAAATTCTGATTCAATAGTTAAGAGCGTCCTTGTATGTGGTTCGCTGTTGGGTGGTCTGATAGGAGTTTCTCGAGTGTACGGGCTGAGAACGTCTAAGTCTAAACCACGTGGCGGCCATGGCGCCCCACTAGGGGGCAAGGAGGGGGTCGGACTCCCCGGGAGTCCCTCCAGCATTGGCCAGAGCAGGTCCCAGCCTCAGTGGCTCAGGGAAGGCAGAGGCGGGAGGCGGGGCCATCTGGAGGGCGGAGCTCCAGGGCTGGGGGGGGGCCTGGGCGATGGGAGGCGGGGCCACCTGGAGGGCGGAGCTCCAGGGCTGGGGGCGTGGTCGGGGCAGAGGCGGCGGCCGCAGCTCCCGCGTCTCACTCACCGAGGTTGGAGGGCTTCACCGGGTTGTAGAGGTTCTTGGGCGTCCTCGGGGGCATGCTGTCGGGACCCCCGACCCCCGCGGTCAGGGAGCTGCTCCGTGCGCGGTCTGGGCGGGTCCCAGGCCCCGCCTGATGCCTCAGAATGTCCACCAGAGCCCTAGAGGTGGCAGAAGGTTGGTCAGCGGCCTGGGGACGGGGGGCGGGGGCGGGGAGAGGGAGGGCCCAGGCCTGTTTCCCCTCCCTGTTCTCACCATTGGCAGAAGGTCAGCTCGGCTCTGCTTCCCGCCTTTGCCCACGCCCCTTCTGATGTCAACCTGAGCACCGCTAGCCCCAAGGCCCCTCGGACCATACTTCCTGCTTGAAGCGCCCCTTCCCCAATTCATTTGGACCTTACCCCTTCTGTGGTCCCTCCCACTCTGAACCTGGGCCCTCACTGCTGTTCCTTTGCAGCCTTCCCCATTCGCCCAGTTATGCGGACCCCAAACCTTAGAATCACCCTGGACGGCTCTTTTTCTTTCCTTCCTGCCCCTGAGCAATCCTGCAGATTTGACCTCCAAGATATATCCCAAATCACTCCCCGGGGTCATTGCTACAAGTCTCCTGACTGGGCTCCCCGCTCCGCCCTCGTCCTCTGCAGTCTGGTCTTCCATGCACAGCCCGAGGACTCGGACGGCGTCATCTGTCAGGACCCTCCAGTGGCTCGCCCATCACACTTAGAATAGGCCTCCTCCTCGCCCACTGCACTCCAGCTGCAAGGGCCCCTTGGCTGTCTTGCAGACACTCCCCTTACTGTTCCCTCTGCCCGGAATGCCTTTCCCTCAGATGTCTGCCTGGCTTGGTCCTGTCCTTCAAGTCTCTGCTCAGAGGGGCCTTTCCTGACCACTTCATGTAAAACAGCATTCTCCCCCCTACCACTCTCACCTCGCGATGCTGCTTTATTTCCTTCACAGCAGTTATCAATATCTAAGATTACATTGCATCTGTATTGGCTTGCTTACTGCCTCCACCGCTCACATTCAGTGATATGGGTAGCCAACATTTGTTGAGGGCTTACCATGTGCCAGGACTCGAGATGCATCAACTCAGTTCATCTTCATTGCAGTACAAATGGGTGGGGAACAATTATTAGCCCCATTGTACAGACGAGGAAACTGAGGCACAGAGGGGTGAAGCAACTTGCCCAGGGTCACACAGCCCGCAGGCAGCAGACCTGGGGGAAGCCAGGTTTACCCGCCTGGGCAGGAACCTTATTTTACTCACTGCTGTATCCCCAGCTCCTGGCCCACAGAAAGTGCTCAAGAAATATTTGTTGAATGAATGAAAGTCTGAGTCTCCTCTGTCACTCAACAGCCAGGCCCGTTCTGGCTCCTCTATTCTCAGGCCCTGCCCATCTCCCTAGGCATTTGCTGCCGCCCTCGCGGTGGCTGTCCCCTAGATCTCAGGCCACGTCCCATCCCTGTAGCCCCGCCCCCAGATGGCTCCCTCTCCCATCGCCCAGGCCCCGCCCCAGGCTCCGTACCCTTGGGTCCCAGCGCGCACACACCTGGGCACGTTGATCTCCCGGTGCGCCCTGGGCGCACGGGACGCCTTGCTGAAGGCCACTTTAGCACCGACGCCCACGGCCAGGGCGAAGCTGATGACCCCGCACACGACGTAGGCCGTGCTGCCCCCCGGCCCCTCGCCCCC